GCCATTAAAACCGCGACTCAGCTCGAGAAACCGCGATACGTCGTCTTTGCTCTGCAAACGGGTCGGAAGATCGTCATGTCCGCGGACACGAGCCGATTCGACGACTGCAAATTGACCAACGTGAAACTCTACCTAAACTCGGAAGTCTATCCGTACGACGATTTGAATTTGGACTTTGGTAAACACAGATGGGCGATTCTCTACGATATGTACGCGCGTTTCTGCAAGGGCTATTACGGATACGAATATCTCGAGTCGAGTCTCACCGTTTCGACTTTTCTACGTAACGGCCCGTTCGTGATCATCGATTGCTCTCGACAAAACGAATCCGTCAAAAACGCCACCGTGGATGTCAGACTAGAATTCGATTGCATGGAGAATGTACCGCCGAATACCTCCGCGTACTGTCTCATCATACACGATCGCGTGATCGAGTACAATCCGTTGACCAACGTAGTGCGCAAAATAGTCTGAGTGTTCGCGGCAACGTCGACGAAAATTTTCTCTCTTTAACTCCCGATACAAATTTATGAGGGGAAAAAGGGGAGCAGAATATAAAAATCAGAGTGTCGCGAAACGCGCGTCATTCCTCTCGATTCACGCATCGAAGAAAGAGAGATATCTCTTCATGCCCGCACCAACGTTCGTCGACCTGCAAGGTTTCGTCGTCGGGATGAAATTTGTCGTGAAGGAGGTGGCGGTGCTGAGAAACGGGGCCGTTCTGGCGCATTACATCTTTACATGCCCCATGCCGTGGAATCTCCTCACAAAATCCGACAAATCGTGCGCTTCCCGGTTGATTCGCAATCACCATGAATTACGATGGGAAGACGGAAACGTGCCGTACAGCAAGGTGAAGCGTTTAATTACGTCGGCCGTGCTCGGTGAGGAAAAGGATGACAACGACGACGACGACGACGACGACGACGACGACGACGACGAGATGCCGACTCTCGTGTACGTCAAGGGATGTCAGAAACGAGAATGGCTGGTGGATCTGCTTGAAAATAAAGCGAGAAAAAACCTAAACATCGAGACTCTGGATGCGGATTACGAAGATATCGAATCTTTAAATATTCTAGATGCTACCAATACTATGCGATGTGGAAAACACGTTAAGAATTGCGCGTTGCAAAATGTATTAAAAATATTTAACTGGTGGTTGAAACGCCAGAAAGAATTGTCATCTTTTTAAAAAATAAATTTTATATGTATGTATGTATGTGTAAATTTTACACTGTTTTATTTCCTTTCCCCCATTAGTCGATAGTATACAAAATTAAAGAATAAGTAGGTATACGTGACGAATTCTAACTCGATAGCTTCGAGGGGGGGTATCAGGTTTCAACGAACATGTCTGAACATGTTTCACGGTTGATGTCATGCGGAAGGAATAGGGGGAGGGGGGATACATCTTAATAAAAAAAAAAAACATCCTACCTTAGTCCCCTCTCCTAAATTTCAGAGCGCTGATTGGGCGTTCCAGAAACATTAATTTCCCCCCCTTCATCATAGTTTTAGAAGTTGCCGCGTATATTCGATTAATTTTATACGACTAGTCTCGTATCGACTGCTTGTGCGAACGGTGTTCACTTCTCATATCCGAGAGAAAGAATGTATTCCGTTGAAGGAAGCAACGGCGGTAACAGCAGTGGCAGTAGACGTATGAATTATTACGTACCGATTCACGATGATGATGATGAAACTCCATCGTACGAGAACAAGTGTAACAAGTAAGTTTTTTCGTTTTTTTTCTTAAAATTATAAAGTTTTATATTTTTTTAAATTGCAAATTATAAATTGTATTATTTTTTTATTACTAATTTCATTATTTTTTACAGCATTTCGTTGAAGCGTCGCGCGGTTCGAATACTCAGCAGACGATACGCGTTGACGGCTACGGGATACAAATTCCTTGAAGTTGGCGTTAACGTGGGTCCACCGAGTTACGTGGAGATTGCCGTAGGAGATCATCGAGGAACGGAATTGATACTGTCCCTCGAAACGTGGAAGGGATTCTACGAACAACGACGGAACATTCTGAATTTCATTCGATCCTCTAAAGATACGTGTGATTTTATAAGCATTGGACCGCTAACATTGAGAATTTGTACGATTAACGGTGTCAAACTCGTACGTCTCGAGTCTTTAAACGTACGCTTAACGATGATCGAATCGACGTTACACCGTATGCTCGATCTTGATCCGTGCATCGACGCGATGTTCCATCGATTGAATAGAATTGTCGAAACGGTCGATGTCAAGTTCACGCAATTCTCCAAAATCGCGTCTACTGTAACGAATCCTACGCAAGTATTGAATGTAATACGCGATAGCGATGCCTTCGATAAACATCAGCTCGTCGATTGTGAGCTCGCAGCTTTATTTTTTAGTGCGCTACCGTAGTACGTAAAAAACCAAAAATATGTAAAAGAAGAAGAATAAAAAAAATGTATTTTTTTTTAATATAAATCACGACTTAATTTCTTCACACGCATTTCCATTCGAGCCGTATATGCGACGTTCAACTCGAACCATTCGATTGAAATTTAAGGTATATCATATATCGTAAACTATGAAGCCATGCTCCGGCGACGCTCGCCTATGTGGTGTTGATGCTCCAACGAATCCTTTCTCGCTATTGTAATGCTAGATATATTTTATCTTAATTACTTTTCTGAGCTCTGGTTCAGTCCTCTGCAGTCAGTTAAGTCAGTAGTGTGAAAACGTTCGCAAGCGCAAGTAGACTCGCACTGTGTAAGAATACGAAATGGACCGAGAAGAAGAGGAACGAGATGAAATGGAACGAAGATATCACGTAATCGAACAATGCATAGATATTGTGTACCCCGCAGTAGGAGTATGTATACTTAATACCGTTGCGTGCGTGTCGCCCGGTATGCTTTTCGAACTCCAAGCTGAAGCGTGCAGTTCGTCACGACGATCGTTTAAATCGTCGTCATTTTCGTGAGTGCGCGAGTGTGAATAAGTGTCTGAGAGAGTCACGGACTCACTGTCGTAACATTTTTTTGAAAAAGCATACCGGGCGGCATGCACGCAACAATACATAATTGTATATTATATATTTTTTAAAAAATTAACCATTCTCTGTTAACGCGTTACAGTGGATATGGGTCGACAACGTGCCGGTGCGCGAGGTCCGCCTTTATAATATGGTGAGGGTTCGGATCCCTCACAGACAGGTGTGTTTAATATTTTTTTCACATATTTTAATTTTTTTTAAATTTTTTAAACTTTTTTTAAATTTTTTTAAATTCTTTTCCAGGATTTTATATATTTCGATAAAATCCGAATTCGGGGATTCATCAATATTCATCGTCAGCGTTTGGTACGCTGGTTTAGAAGAGTGGATTCCGAATATAACGAGGAAATCTGGGACGTTTTAGGAGATGAAGATATCTTCCAATTACGAAGATTATTCGATATGCAAAATGAGTTTGACGTTGAAGAGGAAGAGGTGTGGTAATTTTTAAAAAATTTTTTAAAGTTTTATGAATAAATATTTTTTATGCTTAATTCTATATATCATTTATTTTTCCGCTTTTTTCACTATTATTAAGTATAATAATAATAATATTTTAAATAATAATAATTATTAAGTTAAATCCGCGCGAGGAAAAGAGAACGCCAACGAAAAGACGCGCGCGAACGGGGGAGAGACAAAGGAACGGGAGCGAGAGAGAGACCGCGCTGAGGGAAAGACAACGCGAACGAGACGCGGGCGAGTCGTGTGACGTCACGCGGACCGACGTGGCCGTTGGACGCGGACCCCCATCCTCCCGCGGCGCGCCGCCGATAAAATTCCAGTAGCCGAACGGCGCCCATCGCCTTTGTATACTCCGCGCCGATAAAGTGACGACCCCCCCTCCCCCTCCGGACCACCCTCGGCGTAAAACGCGGACACCCCCCCCTCGGCGGTACCCTTGTCAACGATACGTTTATTAACATTTAATAAACATGTCCCGACATGTTCACCGACCACCCCCCCCCTCTTCGCGGACCACCCGCGCCCTCGAGTCCCACCCCCTCCCCGCGGGCACCCTTGCCCTCGAGTCCCCCTCCCCCCTCCCCGCGGACTCCCTCTCCCCGCTCCCCCCTTGCCTGCAGTACCCCCCGCCCCGCTCCCCCCTTGCCCGCGGTACCCCCCCGCCCCGCTCCCCCCTTGGAGCTCCCGGGGTAGATCTCTCAAAATAACACCTACTTATATTGCTTCGATCAACTTCTTTCTTGGTAATAAATTCTGTTGAGTCACGCTGTGAGAATTGAGGTTCGAGGATTACGATGATGGCGGATATTCAATTCGACGCACGTGTATACTGAAGAGAACAATTTATTAACCGATCGTACAGAGTGAATCGATCGACGAGACTGTTCGATACTGTTATAGGCGCCCCTGACGGATAGAAGTAAAGCTCCGTCAGTGGCGTGGCAGTCTTTCATGCGCGCACGACAGGTACGCGCTAAACTCAAATAGTAAGACAGAAAGTACGAAAACCTTTATTTTACTCAACACTCTCACTGTTTGAGTACTCTCTGTACGTTCTTAAACTCAACATTTTACAAAGTTTACAAAAACGCTCGCTCGGCATAGCCTTGGTAAATATGTCAGCTCTTTGAGCTTTGGTGGGTACGAACACTACTGAGATTTCGTGGCTCGAATCTTTACTTTTTTGCGTATGTAATGATGTCGCACATCAATGTGTTTTGTACGTTGATGCATCTCGGCGTTCTTTGTTAACCGTATCGCGCTTTGATTGTCGACATGCAGCGGCGTTGGTTCGTCACAACTGACGCCAAAATTTCTCAGTAGTTTTCGTAACCAAACTACCTCTCTTGCAGCTGCTGCTG